GTCTCACTCAACTTTTTCATACAAGTATATGAAGTATCACAGTTTTTCCAGATAGGTAATTAAAATAAAGAAAGAGAAAAAAGTCAGCTTACATGTGGGAAATATCTTTTTTAAGAGACTCGTAAATCCACCACATAGAAAAACATCTCTGATCTAGAGACGCTAGCTACCCATATTAAAAACCTGTCGCACTTCCCGCTTAAGGGCTGGTCCACATCATGTAAAGTACTAGAACATTTTTATGATGGCAAAAGAATGGCCTGCTCTCAGTACATTTTCATTTAGTCTGTTAACATGAACCATCAAATATTTTCAGCCAGTGTGAAGGTCTTTTAAAATGGAAACAATTGCGCAAATCCAAGTAGGTAGGCTATAAACCATACAACAACCACTTATAAACTTGGTCATAATTTAAGAACATAATATTCATAACAGGAAAATAAAAATGTTGCAGCTATTCATGAATGTTATCTTCAAAGGAGCCAAGAGATAAATAGCTTGTTTCCAAATACTTTCACCATAAACTAAGGGTGAAAAGCCTATGGCCTGAGAGCCAGTCAACTTTAGTTAACGTGACCTGTGGCCATATGAAGTTTCCACATGACTACTGGGTAATTCTAAGATCTGTTTTAATGTGTGACATGCCAAAGGTGTTTGAAAGGCTTATGTGGCTTTCAACAAGGGAAAAAGGTCTACCTCTCCTACCATAAGCAAGACTTCAGAGTTGGTACACCTACTTCATTGCCCTAAGAAACTTCCCTCTATATTATAAACCAGACCATTTATCAGAGACTTATGTTTATGATACAAGATTTTTCAAGACCTATGAATTAGATCTATAATTACACCTAACACAGCCTTCATAAAGAGTCACAAAGTATACCCAACATACTGAGAGCATCGTCTGATCTCATCTTTGAAACACACACCCTGAGTCACTTTAGAGTAAGTGCAGTGAGTGTTTGCTTCACCAACTAAATTGCTGGGGAAGAAAAAAAAACAAACCATTGAAGGTTCAGGCTAATGTAAAAATGGCACCACCCCTTGAATGCACTTACAAAACCATCATTGTGGGAAATCTCACCGTGCTGCAATAACCATCTACCATCGGAGGTCTTAATGAGACAGATGAAGGCTAAGAGAAGATAGCGCACTTACCCAAGTCCTTTCTACATTACTGCTACAAATTTAACACTAATTATAGTGATGACATAGCAGAAATTTTTCCAAAAGTAATTAAAGTCTCACACTGGGGAGACAAAGCCTTCACAGCTGTGAAAGATACTATCTATCTCTATAAGGCAGGTACATATTCCTGACTTCTGACTGTAGCCATCTCTCACAAACGACTGACACTATGAAACTATCAAGGTCACCTCAGTGTTCGCTGGCTTTTCAGTAAGTTCTGAAGACCTATGAGCCCCTCTTTCCTTTCAGACCAGTTGGAGCTGGCACAGTGGTTCAGGACCTCAGCCACATCTTCAGTCTGTCGCAGGTAGTGTGGAATGCCCCCATTCCTGGAACCATAGGAGCGCTCTGAGCAAGCGCTTGATGCATCACTGTTAGCATCATCATCGGAGTACATCCCATAGGGTTCATATCTTCTTCTCACTGGCTTTTTCTGGAAAAGGGGAAACTCAGACTTAGTAAGTTACATATAGTTACATCAATGCCAAAAGAAAAACATTCTATCCGTAATCACTAAAAGGAAGACTACTGCTCTTGTTATAGTGACATATGTGTTTTAAAGACGTCACCAAGCACTGCCTGCTTACCTCTCACAGAAGAGCAAGACATATCTCATTGAAATCAATGAGACTATTCGAGTGATTAAGAGGAGCAGGGTCTGCCTTCCCCAGCATGAAAGCGAGATATTTATGCCCAGTGGAATTAGGTACTGGTAATGAAATCATATGTTGTTTTATTGTCAATAATGGTCAGTTCCATTGTTACAGATTCTACAATGATACAACTTCTACTTCAAAAAAAAAAAAAGGTAAGGAAGAAAGAGCTGAAGGAATCTGTGCTGGCATGCACAGTCACTTTGATATTGATAATGAAGTGACTCTAGAAATGCACTGGGATATAGGAGATGACAATTTCTCTGTTAGTTTGGGCTAGGATTTTTCTGGAGGCTGCTAAGGGAGTTGAGTACTCAAATCTCACTCATTTGCATAGCATGGCATTAGAGGACCTGATTCCCTTACATACATCTTTGACAACCTCAATCCTTACAGAAGGGATATGGGAATAATTATGGTAGCAAAACAAATTGTATGCTATACTACAAAACAAACTCTTGGATGAACCTTAACAGAAAAGGATTGATAAGACAACGTATCAGGAAAAAATCATCTATATTCTAAACTGTATCCTACAGAATTCCTTCCAGTGTCCAGTCCTGCAGTTCTTGGATTTGTGAAGCCAGTAGTTTTGCTTCTACTAGGACTGCAGGATTGAAGCGTAGAAAGTAACTCAAGTGCAGTATCATGGGCGTTAGCAACAGGGTGGGGAAAGTTGGAAAGTAGAAATAAAAAGTCAAGAAAGCAATAGTACCTTGCTCCTGGAGTCTCCTAACAGCTGTAGGCAGGAAAATATTGAAGGGTGGGAAAAAGCATAGAGAATTATGTCAGAAGCTTATGTAGGGTTTGTTTTTGCAACAAAAACGTATAGCAAATGTGTCTTAGCAAATTAAAAGAAACACAGTTTATGCAAAATAAAAGTGGGTATAATAACGCCTGACTATCTCCTATCTGTTGCATTACTCGTATAGCCTACAACTTCCACTAGGGAACTTGGAAGTGAGATTATCTGTTAATAAGTTTTTTTAATGACGGATCTATATACAGCAGCTCTTTGCTTACTTTTCAGAAATGCTGCTCTGGAAGATACCAGAGTTTCTGGTAATGATTTATTTCCCCACACATTATTAGTAGCATTTGATTTTAGAGTCTTGGAAAGAAATTCTGATGTCAGGAAACCACTATCTACAGTACAGCACATTTAAGCAACTTCACTTAACCAAGTTCTCTTTCAACCTGCAGTTCTTACATCACACTTTTTTGAAGCTTAGCTTCTTTTAAGACCTCCTGGCTGGCACCCCTGGCTTAAAGGCCTTACTTAACAGCAAAGTTTCCATCACCCTTTGAGCTCTTCTGACAGATCCGAGCACTGATCCCCAGCATAGACACTGTGGTTTAGGCCAAGTCTAGTTCTCAAACAGAAGCAGGGGATCCAACAGGAATGGTACATAGGGAGTAGAGGTCACGAAATGACACACTGTTTTGTTTAAACTGAGTATTTGGCTGAAGCCATCCGTGAATTTCTTTTCATTTCCTACTACAGCAAAGTGAATACTCCTCTGAAAACAAGGCTGCTGGGTAAAGGTTGGCATCACATTACTCTCTCAAAAGAAGCCTGAATAGAGTTTGTAAATTGCCTGTTGTGAGAAGACAACCAAAAAAAAGAGCAAATTGGGGTGGTGGGAAAGAAGGGGACAACAAGATTGCGTTGCATCCCCTAAAGTCATACAAATTCAGACTGATCAACCAAGTCAGCAGCACCACTTAGTTTCCAGCTAGACTTAAGGATCTCCCTTTTAAGTGTTCAATCCTTTAAGATTTTAACATTCCAGTATAATATTATTCAGTTTAAGAGTGGAATATTTAAAAGGGAATGCTGTAAGTCTAGTTGAAGACTGTCACATCCAAAGACATCTCAGTGCTCAGCAGTGAATTGAAACACTGTGACCCTCTCCTGTCTCAAGAAACCTTTATTCAGCAACTGCTCATGTTCAGGAACACAGCCGGATTTCATGTACGCAGACAAACCATCACCTGTAATTTATGCCCTGAAGTGCTCTGGTGTCAAATCTGAGGTGCTGAGAGCAGAAATTGGTTGACCAGCTGTTGGTATTTGTTAATGAAAATGCCCACTAACGATTCAGGCCACTAAAGGCAACAGTGCCATCTATTATATACTGTCCTACGTTTGTATTATTCACATATTTTTCTATGGAAAGGTAGATTTTTTTTAAAAGTGACATTTCTCTAGGAATAGTCTAGTAACCATCTAGAAATGGAGGTGACATGAGCTGGGTGATAATCAAATATAAAAAGGAAAGTGTTAGCCATCCTTAGGAAAAACGAACTAGGACCTGAAGAAACAAACTCCGGGGACATAGCTCGTTCTCTATAAAGAGAGATCTGAGTTATCTGTCTCAAGACACATCAGAAAATCCTCCCCTCAGCTCATGTCTAGAACTGGAGAAGACCCAAAGTATACTGGTACCCAGCTAATGCTGTACAACAATTGCTCCTGTCACTACAGATCCTCCCTCTCCCAGATACTCAAGGTAAATCCAAAGGCTTATCTTAACACTTGTCTTCTGAAGAGCAGAAAACACCTTCTGGGTTCTAGCAAGAGATACTATAGTACAGCAAGATTATACAAGACAATAAATTTTTTTAAAACTTCCAATAAATTTACTTGGAAACGCATTGAATGTTTGAGAGTACTTGCAGCAAACTAGACAAATACACTTCAATTTAACTGTGTCACATGGTACTGATTACAGGCAAGCCAAGTTATGAGCTGATCCACGTACCTAGCCAGGAGCAGAAACTTCAGAAATTCTCAGTTCTTGTTGAAACCTGATCAGGAATCAACATTAATAGAGAACACTGTTTTTTGGACAAAGTCTTCATGCAGGTAATGGGATTGATGGAAATCCCTGACCTCGCAGGTGCCCAGCACCCCCACAGTACCATATACACCCTCTGACAGCCAGAGTGAAAGACAAACAGCTGATTCAACCCATCCCGCAGCTCTCGCACCGAGCCACAGCAGCCTGTTTGATAACAACTCTGGAGAACTAACATGGAATAAGGAAAGAAATATTGCTGCCAATATACCTAAAGACAAAATAGCAAAGGGTAACTAACTCTACAGCATCAGACACTGGCACAATCAGAACAAAGCTATTTAGAAAAGAGGAGAACGTACGTACAGGTAACTTTAAGCCACTTTCTGGTGTCGGAAGCATTTTGTATTTTTCCTCTTACCAGTGCATCAGCCACAGCAGCCTCCAGATCTGTGCTTGTGCTCAGGACTCGCATAGCATTCACAGAAGCAGGCATCCTGCCTGGCTGTCCAAGTCCAAACCGGTCTGCACAAAAGACAATGTTGAAAGGGATTGTTAAATGAATTCACATTCAGTCGGAATCCTAATCAGGTGCCCGAGCAGCTCTCCCTATGGGCTCTGGGAACCCGCAGTGCTTTTCCATTAAATGCTCTTTTATGCACGGCTCTAGAGAGTTTGCCATTAGTGTAAGAAATAAACTATTGTTTGTTGGGCCCCAGAGACAATTTTGGATCCTCAGGGCAAGCTGTTTGTTGGTTTTTTTTTAAGCTGGGAAGCACGATATCTATTTTGTGTTTCTTTTTACATAGAAGTTGTTTCAAAGTTTTATTTTAATGTCAGAAGCAGACATGCTGGTCCCAATCTGGCACTCTCGGAAATCAAGAGAAAGCTTCTCATTAACTTCAGAGAGACAGAATCACGCCCAGTGTCAGAACATGTTAATACCTGAGCACTCATCCATCCTGCAGCTTTTTCTCAGGCAATGATGCGAGACCAGCAGCACCAGATTAGCCTATTTCGTGTCTCAAGGCTTGATTAACCAGTAGAATATCCCCCTACGCCCCACAGTATAAAAATAAGGTTTATTATTTGCTTGTGAAGTGACTCCAATTTTTATTACTGTTCTTGAGAAGCAGTTTAAATGCCATTTAAAAGCTCTTTTTGATCAAACAGTATCATCTTTGTCCCTCTGAATTTGATGGCAAAGCTCTCAATGGCATCCAAAGCAACAGGATTGTGTCTAAAATGCCATTTAGACTCTTAATACTAATTAGTTTACTTTATCATTTGCTCAGGCTACCAAAAAAGTTACTGAAATCAGTTTCTTTGGGCAAAGGCCAAATTCAGAAAGGCATGCTAGAGGGACATGACGAATCAGTGACTTGATTATCATGGGGCAGGCTCTGGCAGCACAGTCCTAGACAGGGGCAGATCAGATAGCTTACTACTGGGATCCTGGCTCCTGTCTATAAGCAGAAAGAGATTGGGTTTGGCACTCCAAGTTTTTGTTTCCACGCAGGCTTGTCTTTGCTCAAGGAGGACTGGGAATACCCCTCCTGGGACATGTCTTACACCTCTGTCCTCTGCACCCACACACGTGCCAGTAAGAGTTTTGCCAGCAAATTTAGTGGTGCATGAATCCATTTAATAGACTTTCAGCTGATCCACGTTGGAGGCAGCCACAAAGCACCAAGAGAGAGGGATCAAGTCACATAGGTCTTTTATTAGTTTATCTATAATTAATTTAACGAAGGAAGAATACTGTTTATCAGAATGTGTAACTGTATCATGGATTTCCACAAAACTGAGGTCAAACATGACAATCAGTAGCTTACTGTATTTTTTGGGAAAAACACTGCACTCATCACAAAACTTCATTGCTTTGTTCCTTAAAAAGCTACGGCACTGAAATCTCTTTCAAGGAATTAGCTCACACCAACATGCATAGTTTAATTCAGAGACTGAAGTTTGCCAGTCTACTGTCCTAATTCCAAAGCTTTACTCAAGTGTGTCAGATTAAACTACTGAGGGGAAATAGGGATGATTTTTTAAATTTTGAGAAAAAAAACAAACCCTGAAGACTAGTGTTTATTTCCAATAGAAGTGTTATCTACCAAAATTTACTGTTTCTCTGTTACATACCCAGACAAGACATTTCTGATATACAACAAGAGCACATTTTCTACAAAACACATTACAAGGGAAAAAAATAAACAAACTTCTTAGAACTACTGCCAAAAAGTAATCAAATCATGACATTTCACAAAGAAATAAAAGTTGTATGTGTTATTACTATCCCCTTTTTTAATGCACTTGGGTTGAAGAATTATTTCAAATATTTAGGTGAAACAGTACTTCATCCCTAAAATGGAAAGATCTGTACACTCTTAATAGAAGCACAGAGAAGATGGTAATTCATTAGGTCTGATTGAAATTAAAGTAATTACTACAGAGATATACACTACAACGATGTACAGAAGACAAGTATTTTCCTAAGTGTAAATGATATTTGGTATAAGGGCTGTAAATGTTGAGACAAGTTCTGGACTCAGTTTTATATTTAAACTCAAACCGATGACATTACTCAAAGTGTTACTGAGATCAGAATTTGGCTTTAACTTTTGATATAACATAGCATCAAAAAATACCATTGTCATTTGTTTTCACATAAATTTAGTATTACATTAGAAAAGGGAAGATAGTTGTTTCTTTTTTTAAAAATGAAGAACAGAATGACAAAGTAATTCAGTTGTAGATCAGTTTACATAGCCAGCATAAAAAAAGAAAATTGAGCTTTTTTTAACAAATTAAATACAGTGTGGCATGCTGGCTTTTATCTGTCTCCACGGCTATTAGGAATTTTCTGAAATACTTCTTTCAGTGATCTTTAAATTCATAACACCCAAGTCACTCTGGGCTTTTCCCCAAGACACTGCTGCCATACCTGGGTGCAGAAGTTAGACCTTAGGAGAGCCCTCAGTATATCGCTAACGTGGGGCGGGGAACACATTTGGCTCCAGGAATAACCAGTACAGGCAAGCCCAATGTTACTGGGGAAGAAATAAGCAGAGTATGCTCTGGCCACATTCCCTTATCTCCCTGGCTAGATTCATTGTACCTGTTACAAACTTGGCAAAAAATTCCCAACCACCATTTTTGGCTCAATTTTGCCATTTTTAGGGAGACTTTGGCCTTCTTTAGGACACAGGTAATTATATCGAATTTGATTATGCTGTGTATCAAAACACAGGAGCCAAGCATGAAGTGACTATCACAGGAAGTTAAATGCAAACAAAGCTTAAATCTGTATTAAAATTGAGGTATTTTAAATATTTTCAATTATTTTTGTTAAATGCAAATTCAATTGTTACTTTGAAAAATGCCAGTCATCAGATTGCATCATTTCTGCCAAGTAATCTGATATGGGAAGTGTTTTGAGAGCTTTAGTTAAGTGACAGCCATTTAACTAGACTTATGAGAAACAGAATTCTTTTTCACTCCCTGCCTGAAGAAGGTTAATTAAATAACTTTCAGTATGACTAATTCCTTATACAATTTTAGCCTCCAAGAAAACACTGAAGCCCTCAGCTTCTACATCATCTTTGTCCCCACAATCACGTCTCTATTGTCCCAAAGTTAGCAGCCCTCATTAATTTCTTTTTAAGACTCCCAGAGAAATATCCTGAGATCAAAGGGTTACAAGTTCCTCACAACTGCAAATCCGGCACAGGGATGGGGAAGAAGCAACTGACACCTGCAGATTTCTCTCATTATATATAAGCGTTAATCTCCTGATGCAAAGCCCATTGAAATTAAGGGAATAATTTTTTTGAAAAACTTCGGTGTACTTTGGACAATGCCTTCAGAATTATATGAAGGATGGATCAGCATGCGTTATGCTCTAAAGTTTTGAAAGTTCATCACGTGCTTAATTCTTGCTGCTTTTGTATATTTTAGAGAGGATCCCACAAAGAACTTTCATTAACTGAGACAGGAGTCCAGAATATTTAGTAATAAATGGGATGAAACCCACTGGGATCCTGTCCTAGGCATTGGGAACTGCTATACTGCTAAAGAGGAAATATAAACAGAAGTTGCAAGTACTCTGCATCAGTCAGGATTTAGCCCATGCTGCACAACTGATCCAACTTACAGGAGAATTGAGAAAGCCCTGGATCACCCTTTGTTTAAACACTGTTCACAATGTTCCTAAAATACATAAAATTAAAAACATCCAATAAATGAAATTCAAAACAAAAAGCCACATTGAACAAAAACAGAACAGAAAGCCCCACAGCGGTGAGAAGCACATGCCAAGTGCTGGCTGATGCACACGATGGCAAATGTTAAGATGGTGTAAAACAAGACTACGTATAAGAAGCAGATTCATGCAGTTAGCGCTTGTTCACCTGACTGCCCAACAGAATCAGCAGTGGAGAGAGCACTAGTGGACCTGGAATGACGTCGAGAAGCTGCAAGTAGAAGGAATGGCAACACCCACAGGATTAACACACATTTAACCCGAGACAGAAAATGCCGCAATCCAAAGGGGATGTGTGTGACCGCTACCAGTAAAGGTGTTTCATCGTGAGAGGGAAATGACGCTGTATATGAATGCGTAACAGATACAGTGCAAGCCCCACAGCGACACCTCCATCTGTAGTTTCCCCCCTCTCTCCCATGACCATAAACACAATGCATGACAAAACTCATTTGTAACAGTCCCAAAACCAGTGCAGTTCAGAAAAAAAAAACAACAAACCACAACCAAACAAAAAACCCAAAACCCAGTGCACATCAGGCACGTTCCAGAGCCACAGATCGGGAAGACGGCCATCATGAGAACGTGGGCACATAACTACAGAGCAGGATTTAGATGTGTCTGATCTAAACCCCAAAGTGAAGCCATGATGAATGGTTAGGAATTGTGCTTGCAGGTATTTTTCCACAACATTCTAGCCTATACATAAAAAAAACAACGTTAACAAAGAGAATGAGTAACCACATAAATAGAAAGAGTCATACAGGGAGGTCAGCCAACCATTGCATATAGGTCTTTGGGTTGGGTTTCTTTTCCAAGTAAACACGTACACACGTATTGTACCTGTTGCTACTACCAAAAGTCTCTTGCTTTTAACAAATTTTGCATACATGTTTCTTGAATCTAAGGATATACATGCACAGATAATCTGAATATGCACATCATACATCTACCTAGAATTACACTACATGTATACAAATTGTTAATAGCAACGGAGCGCACACAGTAGCAGAAGAGCTGAAGCCAAATATAGCTCCCACTTCAATTCCCAGTTGTCAGCAGCACATCAATCACAAGATACCTTGTGAGAGGTTTTCAGTTCTCGGATTCAGCATAAAGGAGAGTTCTTTATGAAAGCAAAGGGAAAGGTGGTCTAGCCATTTCCAAATTACAGAAATTTAGTTTTTCTAAAAAGGTCTTCCCTGTGTCTAGCAATGACATGCTCACCTAGCTCAAAACATCTGACCCAAGAAACTGATTGCTC